AGTGGTGGGCGTTTGATGAATAGACATGGAGACTGCCCCTCCAAGGCCTCACCCAGACAGGCCCAAACTGGCCCACACTTACCTCAGCTCCCACTGTTGGCTTACAGACCTGGGAGTTCACTTAGGAAAAATAAAAAAGAGATTTCACTTGTTCCAGTGTAAAACTTGATGAATGAGAGAAGTTCTCAATAGGGTTGAGTGAGGGGAGCAGCCAGAAGAGACTCACCACCTGGGCCAAAGCCAAGTGAATCTCATCTCTGCCCGCCTCTGCCAAACAGGGCCAATGGGAATGGAAAATAAACATTTCCTGTTGTTTTCATCTTAGTGTCCTTTCGAGACCTATGGATAAAAGCTTAGTCCTTAGTGGAACTATTAGGAAGTAGTGGAATGTTCATAAGGCCACGGTGAGGGGACTTGAGGTCACTAATGTATGCCTTTTGACCCAGATGGCAGGACCCCCCAAGTCTTTGGGGGCTTTCTGGTCATGAAGTCCAAGATGTGTCCTACACACAATGTGGTGTCTCACATAAGGCAACAGGCTAACTGATCAGGCACTAGCTGCCAAAACCGTTAGGCAGAAGAATCCTTTCCTGTATAAGCTGGTTGTATGAAGTATTTGCTGTGGCAACAGGAAGCTAACCCACTACTTGTTAAAGATAGGCTGCAAAGCAGTGAGACAACTCTGGTCCTTTCACAAGGTAGATGATGCCCAAGTCTAACGTAGAACCTAACTATGCCTTAAAAGTGGTCAAGTCTAACTTGCATCACCATGAGAGAGTAATACACGTACCAGCAAACAACAGGGTCTTTACTACAATGAAGTGTGTCATTTACTGAATACCTACCATGTGCTGTGCTTGAGAGATAAACACAGGCCAAGTGTTCCATCTATTACAGTGGTTCTCAATCTGTGGGTCACAACCCCCCCCATGGGGTGGGGTTTGCATATCAGATGTTTACCTTACAATTCATAACTGTAGCACAATTACAATTATGAAGTAGCAAGGAAATAATCTTATGGTTGGGGGTTACCAAGACATGAGGAACTGTATTAAAGGGTTGCAGCACTGGGAAGGCTGAGACCTGCTGATCTCCTAACTCTCGTTTACGATTCACAGTGACAGTCAAGCAGGCATTTTGAGTGTTGTATTACAGTCAAGAAGAACCAGGGCCACACAATGACAGCATAAGGCTGCAATTTGTAGGAGATGCAATCAGGATTAGAACTCATAGCCAAGCCCACAGACTGCTCTCTCTCTCTCTCTCTCTCTCTCTCTCTCTCTCTCTCTCCACCCACTTTGAGTTTAAAATGTTGTTGCTTCAGTGGAAACTATTTCTTGATTGTGCTGCTTTTAATCACAACTCAAAAAAAAAATAATGTTCCTTTGTCATGACCATGTAAAGGAATTTAGTTTACATAGGTGGGGGACGGTGAAGGGAGGAGGGAAACTGATGATGGAAATGTGGTATGCATTAGGCTCTCCAGTTCTTGGCTGTTTGGCTCACTTTCTTTTTCAAGGTGGAGAAAGTAGGGAAGAAGGCACATATGGCCAGAATTGCTAACATCTTTCCACCTTCCCAGGGTTTGCTTTAAGCATGTGGATTACTTGTAATGTTTGATAGGCAATTACCTGTCCAAAGTTAATTTCTTCACATCTGTGGGTGCCTAGGCTAACTACCACTACCACCACCATGCCATGCCTGTGGCACTGAGGCAGAAGTTGGTACAAGCCCAGAATAGCCAGGAATCAATCGCCATTGCTCTCTCTCTAATCCTACCATGCTTGCTGCCAGGACACTAGAAAATTCACCCGTGGATGAGTTTACAATGCAAATGGTGGTGGCATCAAAGACCCAGGGGACAGCTGCTGGGACAGCAGCCACAGGACACAATACTATATGCACTGTCTCAGTGTTCTTATCTGTAAGATACAAGGCATAGCCTAGCTGTTGGCATGGCTTATGTCATCCCCAGCACTCCATTTACCTGTCCTGTTCGATAAACACTACATTGAAACTAACTAACTTTTGGGCTCCAGATTGCAGCCACCTTAAAACAAAGGAAGAAAAAAAAATAAAGGAAAGCAAAACTATTCTCTTTTTTTCTTAGCAACAATTTAACATCCCCTAAGGGGAAAACATTACTCTTATCTATGCATTACTGCCAGCCCAGTAATTCAGACACTCAGAAACTTTGAAAAACTCCTAACTTGAGGTTGCAATTTGTTCTTGTTGGGTCTTTCTCAGAAATCTTAAAGCAAAACATCTCTTGGGTTTGAGTACCTCTGAGTACATTTCAGTAGACCATGAAAGCCTCATTCCACTTTCAGTCACTCAAACCATATTTTCTGCACACAAATTATCCTTCCTTGACAGCCTCCCCACAAGGCTCAGCCATATTTCTGAGGCTAAAAGGAGAATCAGAAAAGTCCTAACAATCACCCCAAGCCTGCACTTCCTTCCAAACTGCCTCTTCCTCTTGATATCCCTAGTCCA